CCCTCCTCACCCAGGACTTGGCGGAGCCCTGAACTGCCAGTCCCCCTCATTACACTGCAGGGAGACTCGTCGGCGTGTCCTTGAGATCAGATGGATGACAGAGGTCAGCTTATAAAACACCTCCACTCAGTCCCCAGGAAAGTTTGGAAAGGCATGAAAAACGAGTATATTTTAGGGTCTTTCTTTTTTCTCTGCCATTGACAGCTTTATGCTTTTAGCTTCAGGGTGTGCAAGTGTTAATAAACTCCCTGATGTTGTTTAGATATAAAGGAACCGTTCGCAAAAATGATACCAGTTCCATACTGTACCTCGATATCCTGATATGATGGAAAGCTAATACAACTCCATGGAGTTTGCCCAGAGGGAGACATGGAGTCATAACTCCACTTTAATGAGAGTGTAACCACAGGCACAGCTGTAGGTGTCTCAGACATAAATGAGAACCTCTCAGGCTTCTTCACACTGGACAGGCACAGGTCATATGAATGAGCTTCACACATCTAACAGGCTGCACTTTCTTGTTACTCACAAAGTAAACGGCGATTCCTTCCAGTCTGGTTCAGCTACCTGCTGAGCCTGACGCTACCCAAATCACCATAGTGCTTTTGTGGTGCTCTGGTGCATTCGTAATGCTTTAGTCTTGGGAATTACCCCTACTGGGGGTAGTTAGCGAAGGCATAGTACACTACAACTCATTAACACCTCATTGTACGGCTTACATCTGCAGGCAGTACAGGCTCTGTGACTCAGATGGGCGGAGTCACAGCAAGGAAGAGTCACGGCTGGGTGCAGTGAGTCTCAGACGGCCAATGGGCCCTGGGTAAATGCAGCTACAGTTCAGGGTGGGGGGAGTCCTAGCTGGATAATTTCCCTACAGTAGATGCCCTCCCCTTTTCCCTTGTTTTTACTCTATTCCTTCACTATTATTGTAAGGTTCCCTGAAGGCTGTGGAGAGAAAGACCTGCCCCCCAAGGGCCAGACTGCTCTGATTTTTGCAGTTAAACATAGTTCACTGGCATATCATGCTTAATTTAGTTTGTCTGGTTGGGATGTGGGTGCTACCGACCTGTCAGCTGATGCCCTAGCAGCAAGCTGCTCTCCACAGGCGTGGAGGAGCTGTTTTCCGCCTGCACAGAAATGCTGCAATGCGTCTGACAGCACGGAGACTGGGTCAGTGTGACGGGGCTGGCGGCAACCGTCCCTATGGCAACAACCAATGAAAGAGCTGCGTTCTCTAGCTGGATAGAGGCGGTGCTGTTGCAGGAACTGTGTGCAGAGCTAACTGAGCTGGTGAAATCTGCAAACAAGAGATCTCTGTAAATGGCAATGGACGACCTGCTCAAATATGAGGAGCAGATGGACTTTAAGAAGACATGTTGGACAGCACCTGCTGTTGTGTTAATGTAGATGTTGCTTGGAAAGAAAACTACAGCTGCCAAGTTCTTCTGCAGAATGGACTGAATTCTGGACCTGTGTTATAGTCTTCTAAAAGCCAGCTGGGTTAAAATAAATGAAAATGACCTCATATTGGTCCAGGTAATGCCAGACACATTGATTCTCCTTTATGAACTTGTCTCTTAACTGGTGATGTGAAGAGTGAAGAGAGGGAGAGGATGCCTCTCCAGTTCACTCTCCAGGAATTTTGGCCATCAAACGGGCCATTTTGATCTCATGGCCTCCCCATGGTACAGTAGCACAGTCCTAGTAGCCATCGTAGAGGGCATGGCGTGTCCCCCACGGTGATGTCATTCCTCAGGTCCAGAGAAGACCATCAGTTTCCTCAGGCTGTGGCGGGTTAGTCACACTGGTTCGATACTCATCTGTCATTATGCACTCTCTCCCCGGACAGTGGATTTGGAACCTCACTAATCACAGAGCTTCACTGCTGTTTCTAAATAAATTATTGAAACTGATTAAAAATAACTATGTCCTCCTTTTGTAAAACGCTGTGATCTGCACATAAAATGGCCACCTTCTTAACATACATGACCCATCCTATCATAAAGAGTAAAAGGGCAAACTCTGCTTAATCTGCCCACTGTCTTCCTCCTTGTTCATTCTTCTCCATGTGGTCTTGACTATTTCAGTAACTACAGTGATCATATAGAACATATTCTGTCATCTGAGATGCAAATTGTCCTTCAAATCTTTTGTTCTCTGTGGAATTATTTCAGTCTAATCAGCTGATGGACAGTGTAGATACAAAGATCACACAAAGTAAATATCAGTACACACTCTAGACCTGGAGCTGGCTATGACACAGACTTTGCGCTGGAATTTAACCTCACGTGCTGTCATGCTGTCGTGGCATTAAAACTGAGAAAATTGAAAGCTTGTCTTCACACACCATTTAACTGATAGATGCGTTGGGAAGCACTATGGCTCATTTGGCAGCTACTTGGTCTCTTTGTACAATGCTCACATAAGCAGATGCTCCTGACACTGTGAAAACATTTTGCTGTTTTCTGAAGCTTATACAGACATAGCAGGACCCTAGCCACCCGCCGCCAAGTGGCTGGTGCAAACTCAGTGAACACAGAATCAAACCCGCGACCTTCATGTGTGTGACCATAGTACTCCTCACTAGGCCAACACTGTGTATATCACGTAAGTAGCTCCCATTGCGCTTGGCCATTGGCTCTTTCCTACCAGCAGCAATAATGTCAAGTCAGTCTCTGTAATGGTGGTTGCTTTAAGTGAGCCGTTATATAACACAATTTTAACATTTTGTTTCACAGTTTAGCGTAAGGCTTTCCGCTTTCCGGCTTCCATTTTGATCTAGGATGCTTGTATTTAAATCCTTTTGTTTTTTTTTTGTTTGTTTTTCGCAGAATCCCAGTTTCCTTGCTTTTCTGCCCACATTTTTCGGGTTTCCAGCTGACTTCCTAGCTTCCTGTTTGCCCTGGGATGCATTGTAACATTGGGCTGGACACACTGACTAGCTAGAAGGATCTAAGTATTATATGAATTAGAGAACAGGGGAAATAACCAGTGCAAACCAACAACTTGCACACGTGAGAGCTGTGTCTACAGCAAATACCTTTCCCAAACGTACCCGAATGAGGGTCCCTGGTGACTGATGTCGGGATTCCGCTCAAGATGTAAAGGGAAGGACGTGAACAGGAATGTAATAATCAAATTAGTGAAAAGATAAACCAAGCTTAGAGTCAAAATCACCAGCAAATTAAGTTAACAAGTCATAAACCCTAAACCGGAGCATATAAGGCAGTTGGCTCTAAAGCCTGTGAGCTGGTTTCACAGGATACTGGTGGCTAAACTCACTGATGGGATCCAGGTCCAGACTGTCCTGGTCCTTTATCCATGTGTTCCTATGGGTTGGGTCCCTCCCAGGTACTGGATTTTGCTGTGGACTTCATCATATTCTAGCAGGTGGCAGTTTACATAGGTCCATAGCTTGGCTAATAGAATTAGTCCACAGGCTTTTGAAAATCGATCCACCGCATCACTATGTGTTCTGTAGAGGAAGGCATATCCATAATAAAATCAAAGGCAATGTGATACCATAGCTGGTATGACATAGGAAGGGGTTGTAAGGACCCAGCTGCTGGGTGGCAAAAGCAGTCCAGGACAAAGGCCTTTGTGTCCCTTTTCCACTCTGGCTATAAAAAATGATCCTGAATCTGCTACTGGATACTCCTGGATGCACTGGAAATCCAGAGACATTAAGCTACTCGGGCTGAGAGCCTCTGTGTTCCTTTCAGACACATAATTTGTGACTCGGCACATTTTGTGGAGGCGGATTATCCTGCTTTGCCTTATTGCAACCGAAGGCTAAAACACTAGATAAAACACGGTAATAAGTTGTCTCCTCCCTTGGGGTTCAGATAATGGTGCCCTTCCATATCCAGGATAAGGCAATAGCCTTAGTATTTTTTAAAACTAATTTCTGTAATAAGAAATTGCAATAGCAAACTTTGAAAAGAAGAGGGCCAGGCAAGGATTTAAGGATTTTTCAGAGACTACAGACTTTATGATTGGTAAGGACTTGAAAAGGGTGGTTTGTACCTTCAAGTTAGTGTCTCTATTCTTCCAATGCTGACTTCATGGGTCTAACTTCGGTGCAGTTCCTGGTCTTTGGGATAAGACTGCTTCAATGCTGATGTCAAATAAATCAACACTACAAAGGGTTAAGAAGGATCAGGATGTGTAAAAATAGGAGTAGACGTGAACCATCTTTTTGAACACCTCAGATGCCTTCAGAGCATGTGTGGACCAGATAACCTGCAGAGGTGCTCCTTTAGGGAGAACAATTACACTGGTATACAGTGATCTTGGTGCCAATGATGTCTGAACGCTTTTATATTAAGTTTATGGTGCTGATTAAGAATATGACTTCGGTTTTGTCAGATTGGCTCTAGTTTCTGAGATATTTCATTGTTAATTAATGCAACACGTTTGAAAAGCATTCAGAATTGCAAGAATATTTTTATTTTAGTTACAACTAGTAAGTAAACAGTCTAATATCATACAAAAAAAGAAATTAAGAATATCTAATGCATTATTTTAATGGATATCCATTATCTCAAAAACTAGAACTAATTCAATAGGATTTTTGAATTCAGCGCACCCTCAAAATACCCTAAGTCCATTCAAAAAACCTTGGCACCTGAAATTTTTTTTTTTGTCGACCTGTGTTATAGAAATGAATAAAAAATGCAAAAACCAAGAAATATAGGGCTTCCTTTACTGAAGTAGGGCTGGTTTATAAAAAAAAAAACTGATTCAAATAGAATTTACATTTCTCAAGTTCTACATAACGTAATTCTAGCTTTGCCTGATAGATCTTATCTGGGGAAAAAAGGTATTTTATCACATATTCAGCACATCTCTAAGAACATGCCCACATATTGCTGAAAAGTGGTGAGGGCATTCACCAAACCGAATGGTAGTACAAGGAACTCATAGTGACCACTGACAAGATAGATGATATGGGACACTGTCAAGTTTTTTTTGTCTGACTGCCTTTGTATTTTTTGCAGGCCAAAGAACGCTACATCATAAAGGAGATGCTCTTGAAACTGTTGTCTTAGTGAACCCATCAGAAGATACAGTTGTTTTTGAGGTACGTTTTATTGCTGGAAATCTTCAGTAAAATTACTAGTTAATTAAAATGCATGAGGCCATTTAATAAACACCAAGATTTAGTGGCTCAATTTGCTGTTTTCCTCACTAACTTGTCCCTCTCAACTCACCAACCCAGGTCCATTCCCTGATCTGTGATTCATCTGCACACAAGTTACTGATTCTGAGTGGCCAGAGCTCAGACTCAACTGGTGACCTCATCTTGCAAAGTGGGCCGTTCACCTTTCAACGTTTCTCTGCCATATTCTCTTATCTTGGGGTGAGAATAAGCAAACTCAAATGTATTTGTTCAATATTTTAGGTAATATCGATGTGCTTTTGCTCCAAGCATAGACAGAATTATACACATCTTTAAGAGCAGTCTGGAATGAGTGTTTCTCTTAAATTGTAATACAGACAATAATAAAAGACAATCTCTGGAAATGGTATACTGAACTGATTCTGTTTTTTTTTCTTCCCCTCATTCGACCTTGAAGGTTAGTGGCCTACTGACTAGTTCAGACCCAGAGCAGCGGGCCCAGCTCACACTGTCCTGTCAAGGAGAGGGGAGCTGGAGCTCGCTAAGGCAACACAGCTCACTCATCCCAGAGTTCTTGGACTACAGACTGAACCCGGAACCAGTGTTGCCAGAGATGGAGGGTGTTACTGAGTTCACGGAGTACATCTCGGAGACAGTGGATGTCCCATCACCCTTCGACCTCCTAGAGCCACCCACATCTGGGGGGTTTCTTAAGCTGTCCAAGCCATGTTGCTACATCTTCCCAGGAGGACGAGGAGACTCTGCGTTGTTTGCTGTAAATGGCTTCAACATTTTGATAGACGGAGGATCTGAACGGAAGTCATGCTTCTGGAAGCTTGTCAGACACCTGGACCGCATTGACTCCATTCTTCTCACCCACATTGGTGCAGACAATCTTCCAGGGATCAATGGACTCCTCCAGAGAAAGATAGCCGAGAAGGATGAGGAGCACTCTCAAGGCTCTGCTACCTATAGGGACTGGATGAAGAATATGATCTCACCAGAGCTAGGGGTGGTGTTTTACAATGTACCAGAGAAGCTACGAATGTCCGAGTCAACATTAAAGGTGAAGCGGAGCATCGAAGAGGCTTCACTCACACTTCAGTACCTTACTAAACTGGGAATTAAACCCGAACCTCTCTTCAGAGTGGTCAGCAATACGATTGAGCCCATTACACTTTTCCACAAACTGGGTGTAGGTAGACTAGACATGTACGTTTTGAACCCAGTGAAGGACAGCAAGGAAATGCAGTTTCTTATGCAGAAATGGGCAGGGAATAGTAAGGCAAAGACCGGTATTGTGCTTCCCACTGGGAAGGAGGCAGAGATATCTGTTCCCTACCTGACATCGGTCACTGCTCTTGTCGTGTGGCTCCCTGCCTGCCCCACAGAAAAGATTGTTAGAGTCTTGTTTCCTGGCAATGCACCACAAAACAAAATATTTGAGGGACTTGAAAAGCTAAAGCATTTAGATTTTTTGAGATACCCAGTTGCTACTCAAAAGGACCTATCTTCTGTGGCTCCTTTACCAGTAATAAAGCAGACAAAAGTTAAGCACAGAACTGATAGCAAAGAGAGCCTTAAATCATCCCCTAAGATACATGGTAAGGTTTCTAAGAAAGAAGCTGAGGAGGATGCATCAGAAACCAAGAGTGACTCTGCAAAGGAAAACAAAATTGAAAAGAAAGAGAAGAAATTAAAAGAGTCTGACAAAATTACTAAACCCCTAAAAACATCTGACCCAGTAAAGCTGGAAAAGAAGAAACTACTGAAAGAGAAGTCAATTAAAAAGCCAACTAAGGAGAGGGTGTCCAAGATAGATGAGAAGAAGGAAAAAGAAAAAAAGGAGATCAAGAAGGAAAGGCGTGACGTTAAGAGAGATGACACGTCTAAAAAAGATGAGAAAAAAGATGTCAAGGTAAAGGAAGACAAAAAGAAGGACACTGCAAAGACTGAGCTTAGGAAGCTCACCAAACCTGATCTAAAGCCCTTCACTCCAGAAGTCAGGAAGACTCTGCACAAGGCTAAGGGTCATACAAAACCCAAGACCGATAAAGCCAAAGGTAAACCAGTTCAAGAACAAGCCACTGGTCAAGCATTAACTGCTGAAGAGACACCATCACTATCAGAAATGCCAACCACAGTGGAGAATCTTTCCATTGTCTCCTCTCCAGAAGATCTGACCAAGGACTTTGAGGAACTTAAAAGAGATGAAATTTCAAAACAGGAAGCTGAATCAGTTCATGATAAGGCTCTTGTAAACGACGCTGTAATTGCAAGCCTTCCTACTGAGACTGAAAAAGAGCAAATTGTCCCTCAGTCTGATTTCACACATGCGGCAGAATCCCTATCTGAGGCAAAGCAGCCTTCACATCAGCAGCCATCAAAAGATGAAGAGAAATATGAGAATGTGGATGCAACCATGAAGTCTGAGAAAGTAAAGAGTGATCTGAAGATGGGGGAACCAGAGGAAAGTGTCAGGGTCGCTGAGGCAGATGACATGAAACTGGGGAAAATAAATGAGGATAAAGAAATACAAAAATATGAATTTCAAACAACCAAAGAGGAAACGGAGTCGTTGAAGAGGGCTAAACTTGAGGAAGATTTAGAGGACAAGATGAAGATAGCTGGACAAGCAGAAGCTGAAAAGACAGGGAATCTAAATACAAGTGATAAAGCGCTGAAAATTGACAATGAAGACAAGGAGGATTTTGACAAAGACTGGAATATTCCGCCTCCTCCAGAGGAGCATTATGCAGCCAGAAAGGAGGATGAGACTCTATATCTGCCCAACATAGGCAGTGTGACAACTGCAGGAGACCATGTTTCCTTTATACAAGATGAGACTATTCCAGGATATTCTGAAACTGAACAGACTCTTTCCGATGAGGAAATTCATGAGGAGACTGAAGACAGAATATCACACCTGCACTATGAAATGAGCACCTATGACATTTCTGTTCCTGATCAGCCAGGTTCCTATGATGCCATCCATGGTATGAGAGAGATTAAAGCAACAGCTGGGCCCGTGGCAGGGAATTTATCAGCAAAGAGTTTTATGGGAGGTCCAGATCCTGCATTAGCAGTGTACTCTACCAGCATTGTCGCAGCACCCCTAGCAGAAGAGGAGCATGTCTCTTTGGCTACTTCCATCACAGAGTGTGATAAGCTGTCATCTTTTGCTACCTCTGTTGCTGAGGATCAATCTGTGGCATCTGTAACAGCAACCCAAACGGAAACTGAAACCGGTAAAAGCTCATCACTCCTGGATGTGGTCAACAGCATTCCATCATCTGCCCACACTGACGCTACCCAGGGAAAAGAGTACCTACACTCAGCAGGGACTATTTCTCCTACTTCCTCCTTAGAAGAGGATAAATGTTTTAAATCGCCACCTACTGAGGAATACCAACCCTTTGTGCATGGGACCGAGAATGGAGGAAATACCATACATGTGCATGATGAGGAAGATGAAGAGGAGGAGGAAGATGAGGACCAAACTCCTAATGTGGACATTCCACTTAGCAAGCTCCAAGAAGGATATGCATCCCCACTGTTGTTTAACAATACAGAGAAATATTTTGAAGCTCCTGCATCATCCTTGACACAATCAGTTGCAGTAACTGCAGCTGATCTAAAATCTATTTCATATCCAGTTGATATTCAGGCTCCTTTTTTCAAAGCTGATGCTATGGCAATTTCCTCAAGGATATCTCCTCCACCCTCCTTTGCCTCATCAATCAAAGAGTCCATTCCTTTCCCGGAGACTGAGGAAAGATGCCTCAGCCCAGAAGACAGCACCATAAAAATGGCCTCCCCATCACAGTCTGGACCAACCAGTCCAGGTTCCATATCTTTCCAGAAGTTCCCTGAAGGGGAGAAGATTAAATCACCATTTGAGCAACAGCACACAAAGCAGGAGACAGAATGTGAACAACGGGCCACCACAACATATGAGAGTGGTGATCAGAATGGAAAGACTGGCCAGAGCCCACAGGAATATGACCAGCACAAGTATTCACCACTTCCAGGTCTGAACAAAGGGCTAGCATTGGAAAAAGACACAAAGCAGACACCTATTGCATACGAACAGGAGAAAGACAAAGACACACAGTCTGATGCAGAAGTGAAGGCATCACATTCTCTACCAAAGAGCACTGTAAGCGAAAGGATAATGTTTGAAGAAAGTGATAACGAGACAGAAGGGGATTACTATGAGGATCTCAGAGGGTACAATAAAACTAAATACACTGAGGAAAGAGAGAGTCGATTCCTAGATGAGGATGACATTCTTGAGAGAAAGGAGTCCACCAAAGACAAAAATATGAGAGAAGCAGAAAAAGGACAAGAAAACAAAAGCTCTGTTACTTCTTACTTGCAGCCCACAGTGGATACCTCTTTATTAGGTAAAGAACATGAAACTCAGGATTTGTACTCAGACGAAGAAGAGGGAGTTAAACACACTGGTGGAGCAGGGTCCAGACCATTATCACTGGAGTCCAACCAATTAGATTTACCAACATATGATCCCTCATCAAATCTTTATTCCCAGAGTGCCCTAACAGCTCAACTAGACCATTGTGCTGAATCATCACTTAAGGAGAAGTCACTTCATGCTGATCATAAAGAACCGTTTACATGCACACATGGAAATTCAGCGGGACAAGACCAAAGCGTATTGCTTAATAAGACAGAGGCTACATCAGAAGCTGCACACTGCCGGTCTACTAGTACTTTTAGTTATAATGTATCTACTGATTTAGAATTTTCATATATGGAAAAAAAGGACAATGCAGGAACCGCCCAGCCTCAATCACCATGTTCAGACAAAAGGGAAGATCGCACCAAAGAAAGAGTGTGTGATACTGTGAAAATAGATGAGAAAACAGGGAACGAGGCAAAGTTTGAAAAAGAGAGTGAACAAGACACGTCATCACACTTTTCGTGTTTTTACCAAGAAACAGATACAAAGCAAGAATCCCCAGGCAAAGATGATTTTAAACTTTTACAGGAGGGTGACAGTGAATTAAAATATTATCCTGATGAAAAGCCTATCATGAAGGATTATGAATTTGGTTTTAAGGAGGAACGCCACCACTCAGGTGGACATGATCTGTCAGAAGGTGGAGAGGACACCAAGACACTTAAACAGTCAGATATTCTGGGAAAATCTGAAAGTTCATCTGGATTTTCTGTGTCATGTTCTCCCAGAGAAGAGACTTTGCCAGTTAGCAGGGATTATTTATACTCATCACCCTCAGCAGAGACTAAGGAGGGTGTTCATTTAAGTCCTTGTGCCTTCCTTGAACAAAAAGATCATGACCATGATACATTCAAGCAGGAAGAGTCTAAACAGGAAGTCAGACAAGATACTCCTTATGCATCTGTCAAGAGCTTTACATACACAGAGATGTATGAAAATAAAACAGCCGGAAAAATCGATCCGTACTCATTTGCCTTAAGTGATAAGCAGGTGCACCCTGATGACTTGTCCACAGATCTAGACAAAGTGAAAAAAGTAGACAGCTCACTAGAGCAACAAGAAGTAAAGAATGAGATGTCACCAAAGACTGAAAAATTATTCTCTGGCATGGACAGCAAAAAAGAACTATCATCATCATCATGGGAGCAACGTAATTTGGAGTCTCAGCCTTCAGTGGATGCTTTACAGAAGTATGGTGTCAGTGAAAATCAATCCAGAAAGGATGAAATCGTGAAAGGGGAGGAAACTACTGCCTCAGAGAAAAGGAAAGAATACCCATTTGATACTGATGTCATGAGTTCTTCAAGTCAGATTTCTCTTGGGCAAAAAGACCTCTTTGCTCCAAACCCTCAATTTGACAGCCATGCCAGTAAGTCATCCCAGAAGCCCCCAGAGCAGCATTTAGGTGTTCATGCATCTGAGTACTCTTGCTCAAGTCAGTCCATGATGCACCACTTTGAGAAAGAAAAGGCCCCAATCAGCGGAGACATGAGATTAATAATGGGTGAAGATGAAGAAGATGAGGATGACGATGAGGAAGAAAGGACAGGAGAAGACACCAGTGATTCCGATGTCGAAAAAGGCTCCAAAGAGAGATCTGAGAAGGAATGTGTAAGCCCGTATGGTAAATCTGCTGGAATAACACACCCAGGAATGAAAAAAGATGATGATAATAGCCAGACTTTCACATGCAAGCCTGAAGACAGCTTTGACCTTCAACCAAAACCTTCCTCATCAGAACTTTTTGGATCCAACAGCGACAGCCATATGAAACACACAAAAGCTGAAGCTTTTGAAAAGAAAAGTAGAGCTGATACTGGTTCTCTCTTCACTGGAAGCTACACTGAATTGGGATCCTCGGGATTTAAAGAGAGGCCAGAATATGTTTTTTATGGAGACAGCAAGGAGTCTGATCTTGGCAGTCAGTTAGGGATCAAAGACCAGGAAAGTTACAGCTCTGATCAATCAAGTAAACAATGTGAAGAAAAGCTGTACCACAATGAAAAAGATGCTGAGTCTGAAAAGCAGAAGACACCTGAGAGTAGGAGAGCAGGGGACATTGACCCCTTGGGTTTTACCTACACCACTACCTTTGCCACAGCATACTCTTCCTCCTCATCTTACAGTTACTCCTCCTCTACCCCAGTTTCCCTTTCAACCAGTCGTCAATTTGGAGAGGAACTAGAAACACCTGCCACTGTCTCAGACTCCTTCAAGCTAGATTACGACAGTGCTGGTTTAGACTATTCTTCTTTCAAAGATGAACACTCCCTTGTGATGGATTCTCCATTTTCAAGTTCTGGGGGTTTAATGAAAGACGAATACCTGGAGGTGTCTGAAAAGCTGATGACGGCTACCACAACTGCAGAGTCCACCTCAAGCCTCACCAAATTCTCACCACTTAGTCCTTTTGAGGAGGTGAAAGCCTTCCCACCTACCACTGTTGTTGTAGATGGCAAAAAACAGAGTTCAACAAGCACCATAAAGGAGAAGGGACCACATGCTGACATCTTCTATCACCCTGAATGGACTGATGATTCCCGGTTTGGTGCTGGAGAGTCTTACTCCAACTTGTTGCACTCTTCAGGGATGGAATCAGCACGGGTATTTCATGATGTTTCATCGGTGAAGCCAGAAGGTTTGGATAATAAATATCTTTTGGAGGAGGCTGGAGATAGGAGCAAAGAAACTCATGCATTCACAAAGCAGCAATTCACTGTTATATGCCCAAAGGAAAGCCCCAGTGTACTGACATCAACTTCCCCCCATCAACCGATTTCTTATGCACCTCCTTCCCAACAATTCATGCAATCGTCAACAGCAAATGGGCCCACTGAGGTCAGCTTAAGCCCACCTGTAGCTCCATCTGCAACAGCCCAGAGACCCAGTGTTAATGAATCAGCTTTGTGTGAAGCAAGGAGGACTGTGGAGGATGAAGAAAAGGAGAGAGAAATTAGAAGCAGATTTGAGCCAGAAGCACAGAATCTGCCTGGAGCAAGTCCAGGGGCTCATACAATGCATTATAAAGAGGAAGGTGAAGCCAAGGACAAACACCAAGAGTTTGATTGTCCACCACGCCCTCTAACCTTGGCATCAACCAATCAGACATTTCATTCCTCCTTCTTCCCAGAAGCACTGAGCGACTCCGGAAAGGATACTGCCATTCCTCAGGATGTCTGTACAGGGGCTGCTTCTTACGCCTATTCAACCTCCACTGTTTATTCATCCTCTGAGTACAAACACCGCAAAGGAGAGATATCACCCTCCTTCATTAATCCAAGTCCACATGGATTTTCCAGTGACGATGAAGAAGAAGATCCTGGGAGCCACCATTCACAGGAACATGATAACCAGAAGAGCATTTCTATGATGAAGTCCTGCAAACAGGAAGACCACCATGTCCCCAGTGGATTTGGAGATGGCAGTGGATCTCAACATCTTCCTGGCACTATGGCAGCTGGAATAGGCTTAGCTGGAGAGGAGACTCCGCCCACTTCGGTAAGCGAATCCTTGCCCTCCCAGTCGGACTCTGATGTGCCACCCGAGACTGAAGAATGTCCATCAATCACTGCCGAAGGCAATCTGGACTCAGACGAAGACACTGAACACCTGCCAGTAGATAGATTATCTTCAGTTACTGGTGGAGGAAATCCCCATTTACCCTCACCAAGATCCTCTCATAGGGTTCAGGATCCCCCACCTGTACCCCCGAGGGACCCCTTACCCCATCCCCCACGCCCTGATGTATGCATGGTGGACCCAGAGGTTTTGTCTAATCAGCAAAATTATGCAGACAAGTTGCCCAAAAAGGACCTAAAGACCAACAAAGGCTTAAGAAAGTCACTTGGAAAGCCAAAGTCTGCTTCCCCAGTTCGTAAAACTGAAACAAAGGCGAAGAGATCACTCACCCCTATCAAGCAAGCTTCTAAGGATTCTGTGCCACGTTCATCTTCATTGAAAAAACAAGATTCAGAAAAGAAATCAAAACCATCCAAAACACATGACAGTCAAGGATCCAGAGGTGAGGACAAGGACGAAACATACAGGTCTAGTCACAATCCAGGAAAAGGACTGGTCAATGGTGTGAAAAACAGCACAGGTGGGAGCAACAGATATATTGGTAACATATGAAGCTGTCCTGTACAATGTATTATAGATACCTTCTTAATTTAGATACCAGATACCTTCATAATACGTTATAATGGTCAGTTCTAAGAATTAATAATGCATCACAGCATCTTCTATTGACTGACATAATGCATTATAACATTGATTATAATACTTCATAAGCTCCAGTGACGCTGTCATGGATACCTTCATAGTGCATTATTGATTGGTACGGAATGCTTTGTATAGCTTTATGAAGGTATCTGTAGTGCACTATAGATGAGAACTTCATAAAGCATTCATAATGCATCATAAACATGGCTGTAATGTATTGTGCCTTTTTTATTAATATAGCCATGCTTAATATGCTTTATGAATGCATCATAATATGTTATGAATGTGTTAATAGATTCTTAGACATGGCATTCAACTATTACCAATATATTTTATACTCATCACCTATATTATTATTAAACAATGTAGAATACCATGAAACACAAGAGATGATTCTAAGAAATCTGTGATCTACAATCTATTCCTTGCATCCTAGGTTCAAGCTCTCAGAAAACGACTTCTGGTTTGTCCTCTGCCTCGCCCATTTACGTGGATCTGGCCTACATCCCTAATCACTGCAGTGCCAAGAACGTGGACCAAGAGTTTTTCAAGCGTGTGCGCTCCTCTTACTACGTAGTGACCGGGAATGACGCGAGCTGCGGAGAACCGAGTCGTAGCGTTCTGGACGCGCTGCTGGATGGCAAAGCCCAGTGGGGCACCAACCTCCAGGTAGGAGCTCTGCTGTTATTATTTCAGTACCTTTTTCTTACTTTGTTGTATTTTCAGTGCCAGTTTTTAATGTCCTCCTCGGACGTGCTCACTTTCCGTGTGAAACTTTCTTGCAATGCCCTTTGCATGGAAAATCACACAATGACCTTTAACCTCTGTACACAGGTGACTTTGATCCCCACACATGACACGGAGGTGACCCGAGAGTGGTACCAGCAAACCCATGAGAGGCAGCAGAATCTCAACATTATGGTTCTGGCCAGCAGCAGCACAGTTGTCATGCAAGACGAGTCATTTCCTGCCTGTAAGATTGAGTTTTGAGCTCCTACCAGCCCCCTTGTTTTCAGGCTCTTTCATGTTATTGGCTTCTCCAGAGCTGGTGGACAGAGACTCACATACTGTTTAGCCAAGCAAAACCACTTCAAAACCACTCCATATATATTTTCATAATGAAGGTCATGTGTGGTATAATATTACATATTTCCCATCTGATTCCTAATTATTGCCATATCTTAGTTCCTGACAGATAGTTAATGTACACAAATTTCATGGTACGGAGGATTTAGCAGACAGGATCTATCACGACTTAACTCTCTGAGGTACCAGAGGCCATTCCATGGTGGCGGGGCCAGCAACGAACAGTGTATATGCACAGAATTCTGTAATGAACAGCACAAATCACAATTCACTCATATAGAACCTGATTATTTAAATACCTTCAAAGTAATTTGAAAGCACCTTCATATCATACCTACATACCCACAAACCGAAGCTGAACCCTGGACATACCCATTAACAAAGTTAAGGGGAAAGATTAGCTTTGGGGGCAAAAAAATATGTAAACCGAAAACCTTAACAGACAGACTGAAAACAACGAACGAACCAGGGTTTTGACTAAATGCTTAAAAAAGGTTCCTTATCTGCAGCTTTTTATATGGTGAAGCTGAAATGAATTTGTGCCGCGTATTGCAAGTTGCAAAGTGTTTAATGAATAGTCTTGGTTTGTGGTTCAATATAAAAATGGATGTAATTATTATATTGATAAATGTTTAGAGTCAGCAATTTGGTTCTTATGTATGTAGATCATTGTAGTCTTAGGCAGGTAGTTAGAACTGAGGTCAGTTTTCAAAAGTAATAGACAAGAAAATAGTAAAAGCAAAATAAAAATTCTGTTGTATGGAGTTCTGCCCAGACTCTCATAGTCATACTACATAAATACTGCAGATTTATTCCCTCCCAGCTTTACTGAGGTGGACTGTATGTTTTGGTCTACTTGGCTTTTTCTGCAGGTTGCTGTGCTCTGATCTTTGTGCTCCTTCGGTTGAGATTAAAGACTATTAGAAAGACACTAAAAGTTAGACTAAATGCTTGTGTTTTGATGTTGAGCTACAGGTTTCACATGGAAAGCGTCCGAAATCGCATACTTGTAGTATGCGAAATATAGTATGCGAAGTATGTCTGAATCCTCAGTATGGATGAGACAGTAAGCGAATGGTATCCGGATGACATACTACATTCTGCGAAATTCCGAAATGTAAAACCGATGGATGCTACACTATCCCACAAGGTCACTGGAGCAGCAAAGACCGTCAAAAATTTCTAATCTCATAGCTTGACATAGTTTTTAACTTTCACTGGGGTCAAGCTAAATCATTGGTAAATATCTGAGTCAGGTAATATGCAAGATGGTGACCACAGTCTGTCTGAGTGCATGCATACTGCTCTCATGCATACATACGGTACATACTACATTAATGGTTGAGTAGTAGGCTTCAAATGAAATTCAGTATGTATTGTGTAAATATGCAATTTCTGACGCATCTATAGTGTATCTGACCTTGCATTTATTTAGGTGATTGTATGCAATGGGGCTTCTTCAGTAGCTTCAGAAGCTGGATATAGACTACAAAAGACTAAATATGTCTATGAAATGTGCGTAAAACACAAGATGAATAATGACTACTGTGATAAAGTGATTTTGTAAGGATGTGTGAAGGCAAATTTTACTTAAGAATGAGCAGTTGAAGGAAGTTGTTTTACCTGCTTGTTTACGCTATGTTTACCACTGTCCAATCAGTGGATCTGCTGCCTCCTTTACATTTCCCACTGTCCAATCAGTGGATCTGCTGCCTCCTTTACATTTCCCACTGTCCAATCAGTGGATCTGCTGCCTCCTTTACATTTCCCACTGTC